GAGCGGATGCTCGGCCGCGATGAGCTCCCTCACCCCTTACCGCTTACCGTGAATCTCATCTACGACGTCGACGACGCGGCGGTGGCGAAACACGTGCCCTGCGCGCATCTCGCGGCGCACGGGATTTGTCATCGCAAAGGGCGCGTCGGTGCGCGGAATCCTTCGACGGCGACTTCCGAACGAAACGATTCCCCTCCTCCCCCGCCGTCGCCTTCGGAGGTCGGGGGGATTCCGAGTCTTCGTTGGGTGAAGCCGCGGACAAGCCGATCGGCGCGGTTCGGCGCGTCACGCGGGGGATCGGCGAGGAGGGAGTTGCCCACCCTCCAGGAGGCTCCCCTTCGCGTGCTGGAGCCTTCTTTTGCGTTGGTGGAGCCTCGGGTGCGGGGGAATCCGATGATCGGGAGTACGATCAGTCGGGAAAAGCGGGAGCGACGCTTCGCCGGCGCCCACGCCGAATCGGAAAGCGAAACCGCAGGAGTGGGAGGGGTAGGAGGAGGAGCAGGAGGACCCCTTGGAGTTCATTCCCCTTCGCGATTTGGGAGTTACCGTCCGAGCGTGACGCCCGCGGGGCAACGGGGCAGCCACGCCCCCGCGGTGGATGATATGTTCAGCCTTATCACTCCCAAGGTGAAGTCGATTCCGCAGTTTGATAAGCAGGTGCCGCGGGAGAGTCCGGTGATCTCGCATAACCGCCTATTGTAAGGTGTCGTCATTGCGGAGAGCGGCCGCACGGTGCCCTCGTTTTTCGGGGTGAAGGGAGGGGGAGCGCGCCAAACGCGTGAGGCGTGCCTTCCCACCAATCCGAGCTGTCAAGGGTTGTGGAGGGTACCCACCGTTATTGGATTCGACGCTTTTCTTTTCTGCCGAGAAGAAAAAAGGTGCGGTGTGCTGTGATGATATTACTTTTCGTTATCCTCCCCCCCCCCCTCCCCCCCAGCCCCTTATCACTTGTTCTATGCGTGTTGATGTAGATAGATTGATACAAGTATCCGTCAGTGTGCATTGTTGACGGAATCGAATGTATATGACTAAAATGTGTCAAAGGAGAGTCTCGCATTCCCTGCGCGTACACCGTATCGTGATGCGGATTACATGTTTAGCTCCATGGGCGTGTATCCTATTATTCTTTTTTTCAATGCGCTTTTCTTTGATCGCTCTTCGACCACCACCGATCCAACGAAAGGTTGGGAGCACATGGAAGCCAAACGAAGGAAAGAGCCTATCAAGAAACAAACGTGATGAAAATTTACTTCCCCGTATGGGGAATTTTTTGGATCACCCTACCGTTGCGATACTAAACATGTAAAGGGGATGACTTCCCATCTAATTTTTCTTTCCTTCTTTCTTTCTTTGCCCCGAAAGAAACTACATTGGTGAGCTTCGAGGAATAGCTTAAATACGCATTTTTCTCAAGGTGAATTAATCTTGGCATCTGCCAAACTTAGAAACAGACACCACGCTCCAACTGTTTGAAGGGAAGGAAACTATAGCACAGTCCTATTTTGATTCATGCTTACGGAGGACGCCAATTTGGGGGGACAAGGTGGGTTCGTTTCTCTGAAGGAGCTCTCTTTACGCCCCGCTGGCCATAAAACGAATCCCTCGATCCCCATGGTGAGCTCCGGCATCCTTGGCTGCGTTCGGCAGCAGATTTTGGGCATGATCGACCGCGTCGGTGGGCGCTACAAGGTGATCATTTGCGATGCCGTCGGGGCGGAGATCCTGAGCACCGCGCTGCGCATGCACGAGCTGATGGATCACGGCGTCACCTTGGTCGAGGACCTCTTCCTGACGCGGCAGCCGTTGATCTCGCTCAACGCGTTATACCTCCTCGAGCCGACGGAGGCCTCGGTGGAGCGGATGCTTCGGGAGTGGGAGACGAAGCGGATGTACAACGAGGTGCACGTCTTCTTCACCAGCGCCGCCTCCGATCGCGTGCTGAAACTCCTTGCCCGGGAGCGTCATTTCCTGAGGTCCGTGAAGACGTTGACCGAGGTGATGCTCGATTTCGTGGCGCCGGAGCCGCTTTGGTTTCATCTGGGGATTTCGGAGCCGATTCTGGAGCTCTTCCCCGGCGCGGGCGACGGCGACGCGGCGCTGCTCCAGCGCATCGCCGCGCGGCTGGTTTCGGTGTTTCACACCCTCGGTGGGGAGCCCCCGGTGGTGCGTTATCAACGCGGCAGCGATCTCGCGCGTCGCGTCGCGCAGG